GTATTGTACAAGGTCTTTTCTTTTACGTATTTTTATTTACTTCCCAAATATTTGATTAATTGTATGGTGGAAGATATATTTTTCTCAAAATTAATTTCTAGTTTTGAGTATTTTCTTTTTTTTTTTTTTATATTCTCTTCTTTTTCCAACTCCCTCTTTCGTTCTCGCTCTCCTTTTTCCTTTTCTTTTTCTCGTTTCTGTGTTGTCTCGTCCATTGTTTTTTTTATCTCTTTTCCTTTTTTCCTCTTTTCCTTTTGTGTCTTTCTATCTTTGTGTCCTTCCGCCTCTCTCCCTTCCCCCCCTCTCCCTCTACCCTCGCTATCTTTCCTGACTCTTTTTCTGCTCTTCGCCTAATTACCCTCTCCTATTTCCCTTCTCCTTTTACTCCACCTTTCTCCCTTTCCTCACGCGCCCTCAGCTCTCTCTCTCTCTCTCTCCTCTCTCTCTCTCTCTCTCTCTCTCTCTCTCTCTCTCTCTCTCTCTCTCTCTCTCTCTCTCTCTCTCTCTCTCTCTCTCTCTCTCTCTCTCGTCTCCTCTCTTTTGCTCTCACTCTCTTGGCTCCAGCTGCGCCTTCGCCTCTATTAACAAGCGCATAAAGTCCGGTTTCCAGTCACAGGCCGCCAACGGGATGTTAATGACAAAGAATAAGAAAGGGGAATAAGCCAAAACCGCCGTTAAAAGGCGTGGATAAAGCAAAATGAGAAGAATGAGCCCCTGGAGGAGAGTTCGAGCTCATGGGCTAAGGGGGAGGGAGGGTGGAGGGGGGGAAGGGGGAGGGGGAAGAGGGAGCAGGGAATGTGATTGCGAGCGAGAGTGAGGAAATGCGTGAATTGCTAATCGAACGAAACATCATTAAAAAAAGGAATAATGATACTAGGAAGAAGGAGAAAGAGGAGAGGGTGAGGGAGGAGGAAGAGGAGGAGGAGGAGGAGAAGGATGATGATGTTGATGATGATGATGATGATGATGATGATGATGATGATGATGATGATGATGATGATGAGGAGGAGGAGAAGGAGGAGCAGGAGCAGGATCAGAAGGAAAGGGAGAAGGAGGAGGAGGAGGAGAAGGAAAAGGTGAAAGATTAAGGATATAAATAAAACTAAGAATGAGAATAAGAGTAAGAACATGAAAAAAAAACAGAAACGAAAAAAAAAACTCATCAAACCTTGTTGATCAAAAAAAAAAAAAAAGTGTCAACCATCCCTTCCCCTGACGTGCCTTCCTCCAAACGTCCATCGATGAATACCATAAACCCGAAGCAATTAGGCAACGGACACAACGAAGGACCCACATGCAAATAAGAGCTTTATGCTAATGTAGACGATGGCGCGCGTAGAATAATCCGCGATTGTGTATTTCGAATGCGAAGAGAGGGAAGAGGGGGGGGGGGAGGAGATCAAGATTGATGGGTCTGAGGATCTCAAGCCGCCGGATGGAAGACGTCGAGAGAACACTTGATAAATGGATAATAAGGGCAGGGTGACGAGGATGAATATGGGAGAGGAATATAGAAAGAAGGATGGAGATGTACCCCCGAAAAAATGTTTGGAAAAAAGGAGAGATAAGAAGGAAGGAAGAGGACGGAAAAGAGGAAATAATTATGCCAGATTCCAGAAAAAAAATTGTACGTAGAATTGCAATGGAGAGAGAGAGAGAGAGAGAGAGAGTAAAAAAGTAAAAAAGTAAAAAGTAAAAGTAAAGTAAAAAGTAAAAGTAAAGTAAAAAGTAAAAGTAAAGTAAAAAAGTAAAAAGTAAAGTAAAAGAGTAAAAAGTAAAGTAAAAAAGTAAAAAGTAAAAGTAAAAAGTAAAAGTAAAGTAAAAGAGTAAAAAGTAAAGTAAAAAAGTAAAATGTAAAGTAAAAAAGTAAAAAGTAAAAATCCTACAAACTTTGCAAATAAAAAGCTACCTGCTATTCTAAAAATCACAATTCGAACATTAGTGCTCCAGGCAACTCCTCCTACCTGTCTTGAACAAATTTGTGCCCCCCATAAGAGAAAAAAATATTAAGAAAGTTTAATATCAAATCCTTCCTCCCATACAAAATCTGACATTAGAACCAGAGTAGCATGAAATCCCCTGAATAATGACGCCACAGAGACAGGGGTGAGAACAACTCCAAAAGAAAAGAAAATGTCGGATCCTTTTGGAAATACTCTTTGTTTGATGCTATATACCACTGCTAGAAAGTCTGACCTTTAATAAGGCAGAGTAATTTTGTAATTATGGTTATGAATAGAAAAGGAATATAATTGAGATAGCAGATAATGAGGGAAGGAATGATATCAAATTGCCGAGGAATTGTTATAAATGCTTTTGTGGTTCGTGTGTGTATGAGAATGTCTTTGCTTTTTGCATTTGTCAGTAAAAAAAAAAAAGAGAGAGAGAGAAAAAAAACATACATGATCATGTTTTGACATGTTTTGTTTTGATGACATCGATATTTACCAATACCCCAGGACTCCTTTATAAAAGTCATTAGGGTTATTTCCCTGCGCACGGTCCAGCTTACCCAAGGATCTGTCCTCCCTCCCCACTTCCCTCTAGATTCCTCACTTTAGAGACGCGAGGATCAGTTGTAGCAGGTTGGGGAGGAAACAAAATCATCCAGAATGAGACAACCATAAGGTGCAGATTCAGCTTTCGCTTGCAATTAAGAGCCACAGCCTTGCGCCGCGTGATCGCTGGCTTGTGAGACTGTCTTCGCCTGTTGCAACTTTCCACCACATCAGACCTTGGCGACTCGTCTCGGCTGACCCAGTTTATTAGCATGCCTTTCTGCGCGTGTGTCTGTCTTCGTGTCAAGAAGATAGCGTGGACGTGGAGTTATGAGAGGGAGAGGAACACGTCGGCCCCTTTATATGCTGTGCGATATGTTATGCCTGCTACATGTATATATTTCTGCTTGTGGGCGTGGAAGCATCTGTTTGTGAGTGGTTGGTATGCTGTGTGTATGTATGTGTTTTTGTATATATACACATGCAGGTGACCTACATGTATAAGAGTGTGTAGCTGTGGATATAGACAGATTTTGGGATATAGTCATATTGTGTAGTATATAAGTCTATGTTAATACGAAGCGCAAACAAAAACGTCTGCCTTAAGTAAGAAGTTTGGTTAGTAAATGGAAAAAAGGGCAGGAAAAAATATTGGATTATACAGTATCTACGCATAGGGATATGCCTCATCACTTAATTATTCCATGCGTTTCTTTCCATCTCCTGAAGGCCCCCACGTGTACTGTCTTCCTCCGCATTAGGGTAAAGTTAGCTCCAAATTGTAACCTAATTCACAGCAAGTTAAGATCCTCATTGAGAGAAACGTCTCTCCTCGAGACAGTATAATTGTTCAAGTTCGACAGTGATCGGAATTAGAACTGCCGAGAGCTCCTGGAGCGCCCTGGCTGCGCTCCATCCTGATGCTCACTGTCTCTCACACTTAAACACCGTCCCGCTTTCAAGGGCGCCAGAATTACCTCCCAGATCGTGAATTCGCAGGGAGCGGGCGATGGCGCTACAGTGGCCTAGGGAGGGCGTTATCTTCCTCTCCTTTGCGAAGCGCGAGTGAATACCCCTCCTGGTACTCACTCGCCTGCGCGCGAGGGCGTTGTTGTATATCTGAATGACTGATGCCAAAGGAGCGAAGCCGCGAGCTCTGCTATTTGCTTCCTGCATGCATTATCTTACTCCCGATTTCCAAAGATATTCACAAAGCTTTGTGTTGATTCGTCCTCAGCTTACTCAAGTATCACAAATCGAGCGCAGGATGAATTCTAACATGCGAATGTGTACATATGCAATTTACGCTTTTGCAATGTGTATTAGTCACTCAGCACTGACGGGTAGACCATGAATTAGAGATCAGAAAACGTGGTTTGACATTTTGTAAAACATTCGCATTAGTGTGGGTTGTACATGTGCTATAATTAATGCTTTTGACTAACATGACCTGGCCTCTCATAAATCTTGCCATTATTACGAATAACAGAAGCTACTGTACTGCATATAATCGTGTCATCATTATCATAAAAAATAATAATAATAAAAAAGTAAAAGAAATAAAAATAAATAATAATAATAAAAAAGTAAAAGAAATAAAAATAAATAATAATAATAAAAAAGTAAAAAAAAATAAATAAATAAAAATAAAATAAAATAAAATAAAATACAAAAATACAAAATAGAAATGATAAGAAATACTTTTCTGCGGATAAAGGGGGTAAGAAGCCGAGAAGCCGAGGAGGACGGAAGGCGCAGACGGAGACGGAGGAGGAGGGAAGCGACGAGCCGTTCCTTCGCAGCGCAATTAGTGCTTCGAGTCTCGGCCTCGAGACGCGACTGAACGGCGTCCTCGGGGATCTCCGCCTCTCGCCGCCCTGGAAGAAGGAGGCGAGGCGGGGAGGGGCGGGGAGGGGAAGGGAGGAGGGGGAGGAGGGAAGGAGGGGCACGGGAGGGAAGCTTTTAACGTCTTATGGATTCAGTGTTATTGCAACTTTTTTCTTCTTCTTCCCTATTTACTCCGACATGTCTTTATTTTCTTCTTCGAATCTCTCCTCCTCCTCCTCTTCCTTTTCTTTACTGTAACTCGTATAACGATTTCACTCTCTCTTTCTCTCTCTCGCTCTCTCGCTTTCGCTTTCGCTCTCTCTCTCGCTCTCTCTCTCTCTCTCAATCTATCTATCTATCTGTCTATCTGTCTGTCTATCTATCTATCTCTCTGTCTGTCTATCTGTCTATCTATCTTTCTATCTAGTTGTCTATCTATCTGTCTATCTATCTATCTATCTATCTTTTTATCTATCTATCTACCTATCTATTTATCAGTCCCCCTTCCACCACCCCCTACCCATCTCCTGATACACCCACAACCTCAGAGAGAAGAAGAAAAAAAAGTAAACCTTTCGCACTCACGCACTCGAATTCTATCCTTTGCTCTGCACATTAAACGCACTCTGCTCAAAGGGAGGCAGGGAGCCATACGCACTCCCTCCCTCCCTCCCT